GGGATGGGGGGCCGAGGTGTTGTTTTGCTTCGTATTATAGGTTTCACCCTCAAACGACAACGAAACCCTACACCCCCCAAGGGCCTGCACCCGAAAACGACACCGTACTCCCCCCCCAACGGGCCCCACCAACCCACTATTTCGAACCCCACACCTTTTGCCACCCCAACACATGACAAAACCCCCCAAAAAATAACCCCCTCCAAAACCCCTCAACCACTTCCGGAATTTTTTTTTTTTTTTTCCTACACGTACCTTGCGATTTGTTAAACACCCCCGCTTTGAGCAATTTGCGAAATGGGGGGGGGGGTATTTTTTTTTTCACCCTCACAGGGGACCAAAATTGGTCCCCCCAGAAAATCATTTTTTTTTTTTTTCCGGTGCGTGGGCCTAGGGACGCTCATGCGCCGCCAGGAGCCGTTTTCGGATTTCCGAACGGACCTCCCTTTCGGCCGCCACGGCGCCACGCAGCCGTGCGGCTGCGCGGATGCGTCCGCGGGGTCGCGGCCTAGTCCACGATCGCGGACTTGTCCGTGGATGGCCGCCGCCAAGGGGGATTCGTACCCATCTTGGGTTGCAAAAAACATTTGATGTGCGCTCGTCGTCTTCACTGTAGAGATTCCCAATGCCCACTCCTTTTCGCTAGAAGGTATCGACAACAGGTCTGCCATGGGTGATCGAGCACGAAATCCTGTTGCAATCTCATATAATGTGGAAATGAACGTTAACCTGCGCTTTGATTTCATTTCGCGCTCAACTGTCGTCTTGACGGATAAAGATGCACCAGAATTGCTATGATTCACATCTGCGAGAGTGAGAACTGTACAATGCATCACAATTGTCAGGCTCAGTGCGAGAGTGAATATTTTCGAGTTTGAAATTGGGTCCTCCAGCTTTGCAGGCAGGCTACTATCCCGCTTACAGCGCCTCCTGACCTCTTCCGATGACTCAATGAGTGGCATTTCTAGCCCACTTGCAACGCCTCCTCACCTGTTCCAACGACTAAGTGTGCAAAAGCATTTGGGAATTAATTCGTAGTTTGAAATTTTGTAGGTGTCATAGGCCTAGAAGTGGTCCACGCACCTTGAAAATAGCCAAAAGGGGAGAATGTGACTTCCAAGGGTTAAGGAGTGGTCCACTCACCTCAAAAATAGTCAAGAGGGGGGAATGTGACTTCCAGGGGGTTGGGGTGTTGGGGTAGGGGTCCCCTGCGCATTGATTTTATTTCGCGCTCAACTGCCGTCTTGACGGCTTAAGATGCACCAGACTTGCAATGATTCATATGTGCGAGAGTGGGAACTATACGTTGCATTACAATTGTCAGGCTCAGTGTGAGCAAGGTCCTCAGACACAAAATATTTCCGAGTTTGAAATTGGATCCTCCAGCTTTGCTGGCAGGCATTACTGTCCCGCTTACAGCGCCTCTTAACCTCTTCCAATGACTCAATGAGTGGCATTTCTAGCCCGCTTGCAGCACCTCCTCACCTGTTCCAATGACTAATTGTGCAAAAACATTTGGGAATTAATTCGTAGTTTGAGATTTTGTAGGTGTCATAGGCCCTGGAGTTGGTCCACGCACCTTGAAAATAGCCAAAAAGTGAGAATGCGACTTCCAGGGGTTAAGGTGTGGTCCACTCACCTTGAAAATAGCCAAGAGGGGAGAATGTGACTTCCAGGGAGTTGGGGTGTTGGGGTAGGGGCCCCCTGCGCTTCGATTTCATTTCACGCTCAACTGCCGTCTTGGCGGGTAAAGATGCACCAAAATTGCAATGATTCATATTTGTGAGAGTGAGAATTGTACGTTGCATCACAATTGTCAGAATCAGTGTGAGCAAGGTCCTCAGACACATAATATTTCCGAGTTTGAAATTGGATCCTCCAGCTTTGCTGGCAGGCATTACTGTCCGGCTTACAACGCCTCCTGACCTCTTCCAATGACTAAGTGTGTGACATTCCTATCTCGCTTGCGGTACCTCCTCACCTGCTCCAACGAGTAAGTGTGCAAAAGCATTAGGGAATTAATTCGTACTTTAAGATTTTGTTGGTGTCATAGGCCCTGGAACTAGTCCACGCACTTTGAAAATAGCCAAAAGGGGAGAATGTGACTTCGAGGACTTAGGGTGTGGTCCACTCACCTCGAAAATAACCAAGAGGGGAGAATGTGAATTCCAGGGGGTTAGGTGCAGGGGTAGGGGATGGTGGAGGGGATGGTCAACAAGTGTCATAAGCCTTCAGGCTATTACAAGTATACGTTGATGGGAGCACTCGAACAAACCTGGAGTTTATTCTGAGTTGCAGAGCGGCCGCTCCAAAACTCTTAGCAATGATTGTATCGATTTATTCTTATTTATGTCGCTCCTCACTGTCCTCAGTTCATATTGTCAAGTTAAATTTCTCTTATTTATGTCGCTCCAACATGAATTCCGGCTTTGTTACAAAAAGTGAACAATCAAAAGGTTCACTTTTAACGAAATGTGTATTAACTTTTTGAGGCCCCAGTCAAACAAGTCTTTCTTCTTCGACAGATTGTTGAGCAGCTCTGCTATGATCGACTCAAGAAGGGTACAACACACTCAACCTCAATAACCAACCCATCCCCCAACTATCCACGAGCGTGCCTCAACTCAGACCTTCCACACTTACTAATGAGAACAGTTCCTACATACATTCGCTTTAACATTTTCCATTTGTCTACAATACGTTGTCCTCCTTTACAATTGAAAGTAAACTTGCCAATTGACTTCGTTTTACAATACTCCAGGATGCGCAAGAGACTAACAGAAACAACACCAAAACTTGACGAAAAGGTGACCAACTTATCACTCACACCCCATTCACCGCATGTGCACCATGCCTATTCTTTAACCGCAACCTCTCCTTACAACCATCCCTTGATTTTTTTGACTTCCTTATATTATCTCTCACATTCAGCGTTGGACATAACATACGAATAAATAATTTTTCTGTTTCGGCCAAGTTATCTTCTAAACACACTGCTAATGGTACGATTGTGTAGTTATGCATGCTATATCTTCTCATCCACATGTAGAGTTTTTCATTCCTACGACCAGATTCCACACACGAATGTTGACACGCACTGTAAGCATGTTCATTCTATTTCACATACAAATCCCGCCCTGTACTACCAACATACATGTGTCTGCACCACGGAGGCACCAAAGCATAGACCACTGGTCCATGGTCCAAATTGAAGTCAAAACCCTTAGATACCAATTGCACAACATATCCACTAAGCTTACTGCACCACGGAATCTGCCCCTCAACAATCAACATGCACATAATCATACTAAGCAAACGAGTTAGAGCCTTACACCTCAACCGTTCAAAAGGCAAGAATCATACCCTACGACAATGATTAATAATACGCCACAAATTGGCCGTGTTCGGGTACGACTCTAGGAAGTGGCAAAATCACCCTCACCTCCTTTTCAGACTTACCGTCACCATCATCCGTCGCATCGTGAATGACGACACCTTTTGCTTTGCTTTTTTCACACTGCTCTTCTTCGAAGGTCTGATTCGCTTGGAGATGTGCAATCTCCTCTCTCGTTACATCGAGATTGACGTAGGTCACACCCTCCTTGTCACAAATTTCCACGACTTTCTCCTTCCTCAAATTGCGCAGAAACTTCCTTGCGTCCTTCAAAAACGTATCCTTTCCAAACGTGTTACAAGCCGAACTCGCTACCGCCTTCCCTTTATCGGTCTTCCTTGTCGTCATCCCTACAACTCATCCAATATGACCTTCAAATTAGTTACTGTACCCTAGTGCTTTTGTTGCATTTCCAGTTGCGCCATCCTTTCTCGCAACCGTTACATCTCCACTTCGTCTCTCTTCAATTTTTCCCTGAGCTTCTCCAATTCTTGCTCAGCCTCACGTCTGTCCTTGCCCTCTTACAATCTCATTTCTCTCAAGAGTCTCACTTCCGCCTCATGCCTCTCAACCACACCTTTGAGGTGTTCATCCACTTTCATCTTACCACCGACGCCCACGCTGACTTGAGTGGTCCGTGCCCTCAGTCTAACTTGAGTTGTGGGAGTCGGCCCTACCGCTAGTGATCCTCGTTTATTACCTGGCCTTACTGCTTCGTTCTTCCAAGCTTCAGTATCAGCAACAGCTTCCTCGCGTAACCTGTGTTCTTTCGTGATTTCTTCCTCCAAGATAGCGAACGGCCTATCGGAAGCCATCCTCATCTCCACCAGTTCACGTTGCAGCCTCGTTACCTGTTCATTCTCGGTCAACGACGTAGATGGTCCTGCCGAATTAGGCACACTTTGCCCATGTCTCAACCTCTCAACTTCTTCACGCAATTTCATCACTTCGTCACAACTCTTATTCTTACCCTTCAATGCCTTGTTAATTTCCTCCAATTTCGTGTTCAGTTCCTTATGCAGTTCCTCTCTATCGCGCTTTTCTCTTGCACGTCTCTCATCTTCTTCTTTCCCACGTTTCTTCTTTCCTCCTTTTCTTTTGCCGCCTTCGATTTTGCCTCATCAGCGTCATGCTTAACCTTGATTTTGCCGACGAGTGTAAACTCGTTGTCGCAATCCACCTCCATTGGAGTACCCATGATTCTGATAACCATTGTACACTGGAGCAGCCGTACCAACACCTGCCCCATTCGAGGGCATAGTCAACAACGGAGTCTGAACTGGTACGGTAGCATTACTTATAGGAGCCTGTTGTCCGTTTAACCTACGGTCCGGTAGAGGAAAATATCTAGCGATGTGCCCCGCCTGGCCGCAGTTGTAACACGACCGAGGGTTAGTGTTAGACGCCATATCGAAAGACGAAACGAATATCGATAATATCGATAATAACTCGAAGCCACGCGACAGTAGTCTAATTCCTACTTCGGTTACTTCGTGAGTAAAAGTTGGGAATAATGTTCAAATGGCAAACGAGATTACTCATACACATAACCGAGCACCAGAAGAGAAAGATAAGAAGAAGAGGACACAGACAAGAGGTAGGTGAGCCAAGACCACGCACTGAAAACCCGAACGCGACTTGCTGTTAAACGTGAAGAAAGCAGCTATGACGGAAGCAAAACCTCCGTACCGGCGATCGACCCGACCGGTTTCGCCTGGCCGCCGTGCCAGGACTCATCAGGGGTCTTTGAAGTCGGTAATTCGAACGTGGTTCTAGTTGCTTATATCTTGATCGTAACTACATAAAAAGAAAAAAAAAGAAAAGAAAAAAAAGAAGAAAGAAAACCTCTTCGTTCTACGTCATCGAATCACCTATAGTTGACCACACTGCCGCGTCAACACAGTCTAGAACCATCCAAGAATAACAGTCTTCTGTCGCCAAGCAGCGAAAAAATGGACCACGGATCAAGCCCTGACCCCGAAACATGCTTCCCACGAAAAACTAACCTCTTCCACGGATCAATCTTAGATCCGGTAGGATAAAAAACATGGAACCCTTGGAAACACCGATTGGCTTCACCACAAATCAAGAGTTCAAAACCACCAATACTGCTAACCAAAAAAGCTACCAGAAAAGCCAAGAAAAGAAAAAACCGAAAAATCCCCCTATCACGGAGGACTACAACAGCAGACCCCCTATCGCGAAGGGCCTCCAACCAACAAGGGATTGGTTGCGTAGGGGACGGGTGTTGGCTGGGGTGAAGGAGAGGGGGGGGGTGGGGGTCCCTTCTTTCTTTTTCCCCCCCCTTTTTTTTTTTCAAAAGTCCAGGGTGTTGTAGAGGCCAGTCAGTTTGTGCACAGTGATCACCTGCAGTGGAACTGTGAGCCGCGGGTGTCCTGGAATATGAGACCACCTCCCAACCCATCCTCACGTCAATACTCCTAGTGCACCCCCTATCCCACTATTCTACCGCAGTGTGACCAGCACTCAAGACCATTGCCCTACCAACGGGCAGGCAACTTGGACCGAACAGCAGTGATTTTAGGCTGGAAAAGGACAACCCTGGACAGCAGTGTTGCAAAGCTGGGAACTACCACTTTTGAAAGACATGCTAAATAGGGCTGGGAAGGAACATAGTAGACCATTGTGGGATCAGAGCAGGGTAACATGGGATAGTGGAGGACAGACTGTCCGAAAGAAGAGAATGCGAGGAGAGAGCTCGAAGGCAGGTTGGTGGAAGACCAAGAATGTGAAGCAGGATCACAGAGGTGGCAATCAGGAAAGGGCAGGGATGGGTAGACCCCTATAGGGGCAGGCGGGTACATGTAGGGAGGAGGAGACTAGCAGCAGTGATGGTTTGTTGATTTTTTCACTTTTTTTAACTGTGTGGCTACAAGCAAGTTTTTGGATTTGTGGCCTGATAGGCTGCTAGGAGGGCCTCCCCTGCGCCTCGCCCTCCCAAGGTGGCGATGTTCGCAGCCCGTCAGAGGTGCGTTTTCCCCCCGTGAGACATCTCCCCCCCGAGACATTTTCATCGTCCTTCGTTATACCGGTTGTTGATTCGGGCTCGTTTGGTTGTTGGAAGGTTCGAAAAATGCAGGCAGGTGCAGGCACGACACTTTGGGGGATGGTGGCAGTTTCTTTGAAAAATGCAGGACTAGTAGCTGCCCGTGGTACCGCGCACTGGGTTTTGGTCAAAACGGTGGCAAAGCAGCGGCAGAGGGGATCTTTGGGGGGGGGGAAGGCAGTTTCTTTGGAAAATGCGGGACCGGTAGCCGCCTGTGGGACCGCGCGCTGGGTTTTGGTCGAAACGTTGGCAAAGCAGCGGCAGGGTGGAAAAGTGGAAACGTCTGAATCGGAAAGGGTGTGGCCTTGGCCGCAGGTTGAAACGACACACCTGCATTGCATTTGCAAGTGTAAACAGATGTGTCTGAACGTGGATGTATTCAACACCCCACACCTTCAGCGCCAGAGTGAGTGAGTCACATGTGACAAAACAACTTTTATTTAATTTAAAAAAAACTTACAACAACAAACACTCAAGCACACACATATATGACATATGGACCAAGATTCAAGGACCACCAGCCTCGACACCAATTATGAATCAAGGTATGTCAAATATCTAACACATTAATACCATACAAATTACCTTAATCCCACACATTCCAACACTAACAGATGTGATAAACACAAACACCCTAAGTATCACACAAACACACACACAGACTAATCTTGACACAGAGACAGAAATACTCCTTTTTTTTCATGCAACAATCACCCTACTTCTAAACCTCACCAATAACACCTCCTTTATCAATCAAGCATATACAAACTACGGGCTGCGCACCCGTGCCCTCACAGTAAGTCAATGGAAAGGACACGGATGGGTAGACCCCTATAGGGGCAGACAGGTATATGTAGGGAGGAGGAGACTAGCAGCAGTGACGGTTCGGTGTGGCTACGAGCAAGTTTGGGGATTTGCGGCCTGAAAGGCTGCTAGGAGGGCCTCCCCTGCAGCTCGGCACCCCAAGGCCCTTCCGCTGTGTAATTGCGTGCTGCCAGTAAGCTTCCCGGCCAGCAGAAGTTCCCTAGGGGAGGCCAGGGCTTGCTTGGGGGGGGTCGGCTCATAGCAGCCCCCCCCCTTGAGCAGGTGACTGGTACTGCAGGGGCTTGGCTGAACCGTCTATACTTCTCTTCGTCTTTTACTCCTTTCTTGTACTCATGCTTGCGGGTTATACGCAACTGGACTGATGGCCCCCCAAATAGAAGGGGCTGGTGTTGTTTTCAAAAAAAAAAAAAAAAAGGTTCTTTTGTAAAACTCGAATGCAATGCATGGGCATTATGTTCGGGGGAAGAAGGGGTCTTTTGTAGGATATTTGGCCAAAGATATGATAATTGGTTTAGGTACTCGTTTTTGGGCGAGCCGAGCATTTTCTTTTCTTTTATTTGTTTTTCTTTCCTTTTTTTTTTCTTTTTTTTTTCTTCTTTTTTGGAAAGGGTGTTGTAGAGGCCCGTTACTAAGCACACATTCTTCTTTTATTTGATTTTCTTTCCTTTTTTTTTTTTCCCCCCTTCTTTTTTGGAAAGCCCAGGGTGTTGTAGAGGCCAGTTACTAAGCACACATTCGGAGCCTTGCCAACGCTGAGGTAGAGGGTTCAAATCCCTTTCTCCGCTTGTCAGCTTCCTTCTCTGCCTGGCGAAGAACAGAATGGAGCCGACACACCCCTGGGACCTTGTCCCACCTACACCGTTGAGCTAGGTCCACATTTAGTTTTCGTCGTCGTGTGACTGTAGGCGACGAAGGAGATGCACGCCCTCACGATCATCCGGTGGTCCGCTCTTTTTTGAATTGTGAATACATTTTATCACATTTTTTCTTCCAACAAAATAGATCCGAAAATGACTTTTTCTCAAATACAACGCTCCCTACCCTCGCCACTTTCCGTTGAGCTAGCTGTCTCCTTTTTTGGAGACAGCCAGTTCAACGATGGTTGGCGTCCTTTTGGAGTTTTTTTTTATAATGTTATTTTATTACGTTTTGAGAAATTTGTGAAGTCGGGTGTACTTCGCTATTTTCGTGCTACTTTTGAAGGACCACCTATGCGTCAACTCCGGGAATAGGGCAACTCTTCATAGGATCGGAGCAACTCTTCATAGGATCCGAGCGACTCTTGGGACGTCACCTATGCCACCCCAATTGTGGGGGGGGGAAAAAAAACGAATGAACTGTATCTTAGGCGTATTTTTTAATGCATTTCTGAATTTGAAATGAGAAAAAAAAAAAAAAACAGTTTCAGCCTTCACACCGTTGAGCTAGGTCCACTAAACGGTGCATGTGGGACAAGATCCCTGGTGTGGGTGGAAAGTAGAATGAAGTCAGGGCGGGGCACAAGTCCAGTTCGGTCAAAAGAGGTGCGAACATACTGGTCCACGCGTAGGCTGGTGGCTGCAAACTCACGCCAGGGGCAATTGGCCAGTTTCTGGAGTCAGGCCCGAGCTGCACGCTTTTTTGAAAACGGCCACCGCGTAGGCTGGTGGCTGCAAACTCACGCCAGGGGCAATTGGCCAGTATATGGCGGACAGGGCGGTCGAAGGGCGCTCCTCTGTCTCCCACCTGCTCTCTTGAAAAACGGCCAATATTGTGCCTTTCGAACCCAACCACGTCCCCAGACGCATGGTTTTCCACGAGGCCAAATACGGCCGCGATGGCAGTGGGAGGCCACTCCTGGTCGCTGCGGGCCATACATGGCCGAGTGGAATCCTCCTCATAGAGTAGAGACGAGAGAGCAAGGACTATTACGTCACCATTACACAATTTTCGTATGAACAGGTGCATGATCTGATTGGGTTTTGGCTTGTGCTGAAGGCGAAAAAGGCGAATAACTAGTTCGCGACTGGGAGAGTCGGATTGTCCGGGTTGGAAGGACGCTCACCGCCGAACCCTCTCGCAAGAGTTTCGCTAGGAAAGGGATGGCGCAGGCCGCCGCTTGTGTGATCAAAGGATTGCTACTTCGACAAAGATACCTCAGCGCCTTAGCTGCCAGTTCACGAGTCGTTGGGTTAGCTCTTTCCACCATATACACGAGCGGGGGAATAGCACCTGCCTCCGCCAGAGCCGTTCGGCCTTCCTCCAAACCGTCGCTTGCCATACTGCATATCTGACGGACAGCATGTTCTCTGTCTTCTTCCGTGGCTCCGCGGTAGAGCTGCGCGACTGCCAGCATTGCCGGCGACGAGGGATTGGGTATACCCTGCCCCCATTCCGGACTGCGTGTCGAGACACCAGGTACGTTGAGCACCTGTGATAGTGACGGGTGGTTGAAGTTGACGCCAATGCTGTGGGACACTGATGCCCCCGTGGAGGGGCCGGGGAAGGAGACATTTGCTGTAGAGGTGGATGCCCGGCTGGTGGATGACTGGCCAGACGAAGCGACATAAAGCATGCCGCTCACTCTAGATGGAGCTGACGCCGCTTCTGGCGGAGGTAGCACGATCCTTCGGCGCTGCGCCCATCGATGAATGACATGCCGTAGTGCGTAATTGGGCAACAGGTCCACATTGGCGAGCTGCTGACCAGTGACGGGGCACGTTCTGTGGCCACTGTTGATCCAACGGCGTATTGGACCTCGTTCATACGTCTGTCCAGTTGCCACAATGACCGGGTCGGACATCAACTCGCGCGTTATTGGGCAAAGGTACTCGTTCGGAGCCTCCTCGGGGCTGTCCCCCCCTGCCGATCTCGGCCGTGAATTAGTCGATCCGCGACATCTGCTGCCCAGCGGTCGCTGGTCTGTGATGCAGTCGAGCCTACTGGCGCCGAGGGCTGATGCGACTCTAGTCGTCCTGCCTGGTACATCTTCAGACGCTTCAGCCCCCGACCCAGGACGGGTAACAGCTGTCACAGGAACGTGCAAGGAAAGCGAGAGGTCTCTACTCATGTCACCGACAGCGAAGTCGCTCGTCGAAAACGAAGCGAGACCAGAAGCTTCCGAGACGCTACTCGCCACCGTGCCGTCCAACGCATGCAATGCTTCCGCCATAACGTCCAACGTACTTGGCGATGGCGGTGACGGATACGGGATGGCCATCGAAAACGATGCGAGACCAGAAGCTTCCGAGACGCTACTCGCCACCGTGCCGTCCAACGCATGCAATGGTTCCGCCATAACGTCCAAGGTACTTGGCGATGACGGTGACGGATACGGGATGGCCATTGTGGGCGTCGCGGTTTCTGCTCCTGGTTCTGTTGACAATGATGATGACGAAGGCGACAACATGACTATGAGGGCGGGGGAACTTGGAGACGGCGGTGATATATGCGGGATGACCGTCGCGGCTTCTGCAGCTGGTAGTGTTGTTATTGGTGTTGATAATGATCCTGCTGCTGCTGATGATGATGGTGACAGCACGACTATGAGCGCGGAGGAAGAAACAGCCGAAATTCCAACTGCTGTGCTGCTTGCTCCAGAAGACGCCGAAGAAGGCGGGATGGCTGCCGTGAATGTGGGAGATATTGCCGTCACACGCGTATCGGTGGCAGGGTTAAACGCTGTCAATACAGCACGCAGTGCCGTGGGCGATTTCCGTAGCTGAAGCCGCTGTTCAAGAGACAGGCGGCCGGTCATTAATTTAATGAATGTAGAGGACCGCGGGATGGACGCAGACGAGGAGGCTGGAGCGAGCTCGTCAAGGCTTCGCGTCCGCTGCTGAGCTCCTACGTACGCCGCCCGTGCCGTGGGACTCGCGCTGCTGAAATCGATTCCTGTGTTATTGAGTGCTCTTGCTTCCCCCCTGCCCGTGAAGCTCTGTATGTCTTGCGTGGTTGTGACCAAACCCCCGGAACTCCCCCATAACCTACGACGCCGTATCATCATTCTCGCTGGCGACTGCATCGTGTACGAAGACACAGTCGGACACATGGCGCCGTCCAGTCTATTCTGGTCGCCAGCAGCTTCAACTGTGCCTTCTGGTACATCCGCTTCGTCGCTTCCTTCTCGATCGCTGAAAGTCTCAGTTTTCTGAACTGCCATCCTCCTTAAGGGCCCCAGCGTATCATCGCCCTGCTCCACCTCCATGCTGCCTATTCCTTCAAGCTGCGGAGATCCATTTGTGTTGGACGCTAGCATTGAGTTGCTTTCCACTACATCAAGGTCGTCTAGGTGCTCGTTGAATAGCTCCTCCCGGCCTTCGTTCTCCTCGTTCCTGAGAGTGGTCTGTTGCTTCCCATCACCCTGAAGTTGACTATCTTTGATGACCTCAAGACAAATTGAGATGGAAGGAGTGGAGGAACCAGCGAAGTACTCGCGTTTGTCTGCCCTCTTCCCTTCGTTCTCTATGCCCCACTGCTGCCCACCCATATCCGCGGTCCTGCATCCCAACAAGGACCCAACCTGCAGATCGTCGTTATCTAGTGTATAATTTGTAGTCTGTAGATTGCGGCATGTCCGTAGCGTTTGTGCTAGTAGCTCCGAGGGCAAGCTAGGCAGCAGAGGCATGTCCACTAAGAGAGCCTCCATCCTTCTCCCAATCTTCGCGCCAACGTCGCGGAGTCTCGTCAACGTTCCGCCCTCATCCAGGAGTCCCTGAACCCGCGTGCTTGCGTTCCGGCACAGCTCTGTTACATCAACGGCGTCCATGACGGCGAGCTCCAGATTGATCCAATGAACTGCCGATGAGGAGTCACATCCGGCGACACCGTCGCTGCTCGGTTCCTGATTGCAGTCCATCCCATCTTGTCGTCGGGAGGTCGTCCTGGCGTGGCCTTCCTGATCGCTGGTGCTGATTCCGTTGCGGTAATTAGTGGTGGTTATAGCATCGTCAAAAGATCTCTTGCCACGACTATTGCGACTCCCTACTGGACAGCCGTCTGCCATTCGACCAGTAACCCGGTGCGCAACTCCCCAGTCACAACCCATGTCCTCACCATGACTACAGCTGCTCGCAGGCGACCTTTCGGCGGGAAGAGGTGGTGGGTTGGTATCTACCGCTGTCATCTCAATTCGCGACGACGACGACGATTCATCCCGAGTGCTTTCTCGGCGGTGGTCATCTAGGTGCCTGAGCAGTGGCACCAAGGATCTTAAACTTTGAGATAGCTGCAGACAAGCACTGCGGCAGAATCTTGCGTCGCGTGCAGCGTCGGATACCCGTTCAATCAAACACATGATATCTGCGATGCTTGGCCAGGCCGCGCGCGGGTGCAGAGGGCCCGTTCGAAAGCTCGGGGGAGCCGGAGGGACTCTGGCGCGGAAGACCTCCATGTTGGGATTCTGTCAATAGGGAAGGCAAACGGCGATCATCACTGTCACCTTGAAACGAAACGCTAAGCTACTCTCCGCGTGGGAATTCCTGATCGGCAGTTCTCATGGCACACAGAAGAGTAGACAAGCCTCGTCACCCGCCCAACGCGTTCCCCACCTTCGGCCGCTCTCTCACTGCGAGTGTGGGCGCGCATGCGTGCGTTTCTATGATGAGGTGGACGCGTAGATTGTGTGCGTAACTTGCATCCCCCTACGCTGACGTAGAGTGCTCCTGCGTCCCTATTTACTAATATATCCTCCTAAACTCACGTGGATCAGCCTAACTCAGTTGGGAAGGCTTGCGAGTGGCATTCAGGACGTTGTGGGTTCAATCCGCATTGGGCTCATGTACCTTCCTGGGCATGCTTGGCGCCGGCCACCTAGAGATAGACCACTGGATCCCCGATCTGCATTGAGCAGAGTCTGCTGATGTTCGTAGGGGAGGGGACCTGAGGGAAGGCACAGGGATTGGTCCTGTTGGCATGGTCCCTGATGTTACAGGCTGTGCCGTAGCCGGTATCGCCCACCTGCAGGTCGGGAGCAGCCCCAGAACACGGTTCTGGCTGCCACGGGGTTCCCCGTATGCCTACCGAGCGTGAGGTGAAATTGAGAGAAGAGTATAGCTTTAAAAAAAAAAAAAAAAAAAAAAGAG